ATTCTACAAATTTCTTCATGGAAACTTCTCTGACGAGCTTTTTTCCCTGGTACCCCCACTTCACTAATTTAGGAGTTATACTAGATTGGCATCTAGGTCCCACCCGTTTACTGTTGAAATTGCTAAATGCAACCGCTACATACCATAACAGTTTTTTTTCTCACAATTCACTTTCCTTTAGTTGATTTTCTGATAACTACAATCTTTAAAAATTATATGCAACATGAATCCCCATCTTCTGTCATCTTGAATAGCGTTCATCTTTTTGTTCTTTCCTCAATCCTCCTCAATATACTCAATCTATATAAATATATATATAATATATATATATATATATATATATATAATATATATATATATATATATAATATATATATATCAATCTATTGCGTATTAGTGTGATTTCCCCCATGCTTAGGGTGAAATGATTTTTTAAAATGCACACAAACACACACACTTATATATAACACCGCGGACATAAACATCCGTGCATGATGAAGGACATAGTTACACCAATCATGTTCCATGAATATGATTTTAAAAATATATACACAAACATACATATATTATATATAATATATACATAAACATCCGTGCATGATGAAGGGTATATTACACGCCTTATATTAATCATCAGTTCCATATATATATATATATATATGTATGTATATATATATATATATATATATATATATATATATATATATATATATATATATATATATATATATATATATATATATATATATATATATATATATATATATATATATATATATATATATATATATATATATATATATATATATATATATATATATATATATATATATATATATATATATATACATTTACAGTGACAGGATGGATATGATATGGTATACCAAATTTTAAACTATAATAATTAGATTTGATCTTGCACAAATTACATCGTATAGCCAATTTCAAGATAAAAATTAATCTATGATCAATTCTCACTATACGAATGAAATTAGACAAAAATGGAATAAACTGAGATAATAAAAAAAAACTGATTACTTTCAATTTTTTTTTCCAATAATATCAGAAATGACCACATTAATTAAAGCATAACAAAAATGATCACAATAATTAAAGTGTAAAAAAAGATGCTATACAATATTCAAAGTTTGCAAGATATGAAAAATCATATAGACTGCAGGTGTTAAATTTCGAAAACGCACACAGATACACAAACACACACACATATATATGTATGTTGCAAAGTTGAACGTTATATGTGCAATGGTGAATGAGCTCTCTGATATGAATGACAGACGAGGTTGTATGTAGTGAAAGTTATAAGAACAACGAGTCTGTCTATATTTCTGAGATGAGGTATTATGCACATTATTTACATTATTCGGACTATTGTCCTCATCTTTGTCGCAAAGATGAGGACAATAGTCCGAATAATGTAAATAATGAAGAATAACATGGACAGATAACGATTTAACTTAGCGCTAAATATGTTATGGTTGAACTCTTATAGCAGTGTTTAGCGAAATGGCTTAAAAAAAAAGACATAGGTAAATGATAGACATGCGATTTTCATTTGTAAGTGTAAGAATCTACAGAATGGAAAATAGTTCTCCCACAACCTCACCATGTAAACGTCTTTGAACTCTACCAAGACTGGAAAGTGATGATAGACCTGTATCTGATTTAATGAAAAGAGGGGAAAATGGACTCGTGTCTAGCTATTTGCATAAAGTTAAAAAAAGAACTCTACCCAACTTAACCCTAGAACACTGAGTCTAGCTGCAACCTGTTCCAGCTAGCCTTTCGAACTCTCTGCCTTCGGGCAGAGAGAAACCTGGACGAGGCTCCGCCGAAGGGCAGAGTCTCGTTCAGAGAGGTAGACTGCCCCTGAACCCGTTTATAACCGGTTCAAAAGGGAATATTTTTGACCGAGCCTACGGGCTCGGAGAACCCGCATTAAACCGGCCTTGTGCCACATGCAACCCTCGTGGAGGGGTAGATAAATATACTAACCCTAGAACACTAACCATCAATTAAAGTTACACCACTATTAACCATGGGTATATCATACCTGATTTTGAAAAAAAAAAAAAAAATATAAATCTTTATTTGAAATATTTTACATGCAGGCACTTCAAACTTTTTACTTTGAGTTAACATTAATAAGAACTGAAAAACATATTATTTAAGTAAGAAAATACTGAAAAGTGTAATTAAAAATAGGAAAATTGGCGCTGGGTACTATATACCCATGGTTAGTATTCTAGGGTTAATGACACGACCACAAACAGAACCAGAGAGTGAATACTGAACATGTGTTTAGCTATTTGAATAGAGTAAAACTGGACCTGTGGCTACCTAGGTGATTCCAGTGCAAACCGGACCAGTGTCTACCTTTTCGACAAGAGTGAAAAGTGGACCTGTGACTTACTACTTGAAGAGACTGATAACCTGATCTGTATCTTGCCTAGAGACTCGAGTGGAAACTGGACTTGCTGTTAATGTATTTAAACTTTTGATCTTTGCTACTTTTATTTGACGTTAATTAACACAACAAGCCTTGATATATCTTTAAATTATCCATATAAATTAAACTTATTTAATAATAAAGATTAATCAATTTAATTATTATTAGAAATAATTATAATCACCTTAAGTTCCAACTCTTGAAGAAATAAATTTTCCTTATTTGTAGTCGTTATGGAAGATTTAGAAATTATGTGAGAAGTCAACCAATAAAATTATCAAGAAACACTGAAAGTTAAGCTTTAATAGTGCAATAATAAATAAGCCGTGCAATATAAATGAAAGGCTGGAAAGTAATGATTGTGCAGCTCCAGATATTGCATATATGTTTCGTCTAATCAGAATCTTGTAAAGATAATACATTTTTAAATCATTTTACTTCAAACAAGACGATGATGCCACTAAAACGCAATGTATTTACTGGAAGTGGTAGACAATGAAAGACTTCATTGAGGAGAAACGACAATAAAATACCAGGGTTCATGTAGGCAGCAGATTGAAATTCATAGAGAACCAGACCAGATATGGCAACAATATCCAATGCACTATGGTAGATGTATAAATAGGCAAGATCGATTCAGACGTGAAAAAATCTCTGGGCAAAAGAGGTCAGATAATTCTTACAGGTACGCTTTTTCCAGCGTCATTAGCTATGGCTTCTAGATATTAATTCCAATGGATACCTGAGATGAAAATGAAAGTCAGTAGACGTTTAAAGCATCATTGAGAGGACAAAAGTTTTATTGTGACTGGGGGAAAAACTCAAATTCTGTAGAATGATGATGAAACGATACGAGTTTCGGCTTTTGAAGTCCTAACAGTTAAAACCAATTTTATTTCCCTGGGGTGGAGATCGGAGAAGAGATTCGGTGTATAGCTTTTTGGGAGAGCCTTCTTGAAAATCTATAGTTAATTTATAAACATCCCTGTTCATGGCCTTATTATTGAATTAATTTTTTATTTTTTTTGTTTTTTTAAAGCATTTCACCCCTAGCAAGGCGTGAAGCCACGAACACGCAAGGGGTTACAGAGGATCTGGAGCAAGAGCAGATAGGATTGATGGAGGAAAGAATGAAGAGAAGGATAGTGGATAGATCAAGGCAACTGGAGATGTCAATTGACATTACATTTGAATAGTTGGAGATTATAGCTATCAGGGAAACAGGAAAAGGGAAGGGAGTTCCACAGGCGAAAGGTGCGAGATATGAAACTATTGGAGTAGAAGAGACAGCTACATTTAACAATTTCAACAGTGAAAGGGTGAGACCGGGATGCCAGCCACGTATGATGCCTGAATTCGCGAAGTCTGGGAACCAGCGAAAGCAGCTCATCAGAGCAATTACCATGAAAGTATTTGTAAAAAAGACAGAGAGAGGCAACAGCACGTCTGTGAGAGAGCGGCTTCAGACGAGATGCCAGATCAGGGCCAATTACATTGCATATCCGTCTCTGGATCTTATCAAGAACCCCCGAGGCAAACAGAAGGGGCTCCAGACCATATATGGCAGCAATACTCCATGCAAGGGCGAATGGTTGATTTGTAGATTTATAGTGTTTTCCTTGACTTATAATAATCTCATAGCATTTTCAAACTGCATTTTTTATTTCACATAAAGGAAGTATTTTGGTTATATCGGATGGATTCTGAGAAGAATTGTTCGATTTTTAGAAATTCTGCTACCTAGAAACGTACTTTGCTTCTGACAAAACAAAGCCGTGTCTGAAAATGACAATGTTGAAGAATAAACCTTGTCTCGATTACCTTTAAATCCATATTCTATGATTGATGACTGCTAACAGTTGTATCTGCTACAGACATATGCTTACCGATTGAACTCCTTCATCAGAAAAAAAAATCATTTCCTTTCCAATGCTCTCCAGAAAGAGGCCAATTTCTCAATATGACATTGAACGGTAAGGATTTCTTCAGTTTCCAGAAGTACGTTAAAAAGAATCCTTTATTAATAGCATAATAACCGATGCGAATAAAATCTAATTTTACTGAAACTGTTTATCCTATCCCCAAGAATATATGTTCTTTGCCACGTAAGTGCAAGAGAAATTTTTTTCAAAGGTTAGTGCCAATTTATAGTTTTACAATTTGTCTTAAATCTTGCAAACAGCTTAAAACAACGGAGTTATTAGACAAGCAAGAAAAAGGCTTACAATACACTTCTAAAGTTTCCATGAATTTCTTCACAGTAAGACGTAGAGAGCTTTTAAATTGACCTAATATTGACTAAGGTTTGTAAAGATGAGATATTTTTTTTTGTGGAATGTATAAACAGATCGCGTAAAGGTAAAGCAAGAGTGTTTTGATGTTTCTGCCTTCAAAAATTAAAATTGCATAAGAGAAATAAGAACAAGCGAGAACATTGATATAAAGAATAAGAAAATAGACATATTGGAAAAATAATGTTTGGAATCACTGACAAATTAAAAGACGTTTGCATCTTTTTCGGACGTTTCTATATCACGCTGAGACACCGGTTCTCGTAAGATCACCGAAGTTAAGCAACGTCGAGCCTGGTCAGGACCTAGATGGGTAACCGCTTGAGAATATGTAAGGTGCTGTAAGCTTGGATGTGCGTGGGGTGTAATAGATAACAAATTGGAATTTAAATTCCGAGCGCGGTGTTCCAACTCCAGTCGGGGTCTTTACATCCACTTACGTGAAAAAGATCTTGGGAAAGGTACAACCCACCTCTTCTCCCTCCGCCCCGATCTATGGGTTAAAAAGGAAAAATTAAGTTAAAATAGGAAAAATTATTACAATCTAAAAAAAATATTTTTCGGCTTTAAATAACCTACGATAGATTGATAAGCCGTTTCTTTAATATTACAACCACAGGAACAAGTTAAGTGTCATTTAAAATGTAAAAATGCTCCGACATACTATTGACAGAATAAAGAGAAATGTAAGCAGGACGACATATCTGAATGTGATATCTTTAGTAACGAGTAGCTATTCGCCACGTAGGGTAACAGATGCAACCTGTACAAGGATGAAAAACTGGCCAACTCGCAAGGGATGATAGAATGTTAAACAGGGGAGAAGTCGTGTTCTTCTTCAGGCACAGAATATAAATTTATGATAATGAATATCGCTGTTATCGGGTGATTCTGTAATTGTACAACCGAAGGTTAATTGTGTGCAATATAAAGGACGGTGTGGGATAAATTTAAAGCGACCCTCAACGGGTCACAAAAGCCAGTAAAGCTTAAATAGTAATATTATTTCTATAACGACTTCTTTTCAATGAGTCCCTGCCTCATTGCGCAATATACAGAAGTGCGCTGAATAAATTCTCATCTAAATTACGCAAAAATGAAAATAACACTGACATCTCATTTTAACAGATATATCTACCAAAATTACACAGAAATATCTTGAAATACTAAATAGTTAATCTATTGAATAAAATCGCCTTTGGCTTCACACACGTCCTTTGGGGCTTGTTTTCCAGCTTAGGCTTGAACTAGCATCAAGACGGCGAAGACTCTGGTTTCAGAGCGGAAACCAGACAAGGCTATGTCTAAGGGCAGAGTCTCATCTGGAATGGAAGACAGACCCGACCGCATGTATGCGAGCTCTACGTGGAATTTTTGCCCGAGCCTACGGGCTCGGAAATGCCTCACATAAAATTGGCCTTGTGCCGTATCTTGCCAAATGGGGAGGTTGGTAAATACCACAGGCTGCCTGACGTTAGATCGGGACGGCTGTGAGATCTATCAGCGTGCGAAGCTCTCGGGTCTTGTCGAACTCTCTGATTTAGGGCAGAGAGCAACTTCGACGAGGTTATGCTGAAGGTCAGATTCTAATCTGGGGAGGTAGACAAACCCAACTCCGTGTATGCGGGATCTACGGGAAATCTTTGCCCCAGCCTATGAGCTCGGATTACCCGACATAAAAAAATCGGCCTTGTGTCACATTCTGCCTCTTGGGGAGGTCGGTTAAATACCGGCTTCATCCACGTTCTCCTGAAGACTTCGGAACCTCCTGCATCTCTTCTGGACGGTCTCCTTGTTTAAGTTGGTGAATGCTACTATAACCCTTGTCTTCATCTTTAGTCATACAATGAGTTTTGTTGAACTCTTGTTCAACACATGTGTCCCTTGAGACTTTTACTGTGTAAAATCGCGTATAAAACTCACGTTGAACTTATAAATAATTAAATTATAGAATGTAATCAATCTCCTATAAAATTTCGTGACTTCCATTATTTCCTCCGTCCCTCACGCCCTCTAAAATAGTCATACACTGACCGATCGAAAAATGTACAAACAGGTAAGGAGTTGCAAAGTACATTTGGTTTTACTCAGGTGCATAGAACCACACATTTTCATTTATTTTTTTAGGGAGATGGGGAATAAACGTTTTATTATTTAACATACAAAATACACCCACTATATTAAAAACAATTTAAAGATCAGAATAACAAATACTTATTTTATAAAAATAGAAAAATAATTTTTACATATTCTTTTAAAGTTTTTATATATACAAGAATTCTGTTTCAAGTTTTCTCTGCGTTTGCGAGGACTATATAAAAAAATCACAAGTCCAAACGATTTAAAATTTTAGAATTTGGCAGCAGAAAGAAATATTTACGCATGACCATTTCTATGTTGCATGTTCAAGAGAAAGAAATCCTAAGAATGCTTTCTTCGCTGTTGAAAATGAAAAAAAAAAACTTTCTTAAAATATTGTTACTGTGAAGTCCTATAAAATTAAATTAAATTAAAGGAATATTTAAACCGCGAGGTAGGTTTTTTTTGTCAAAGTATTTTCCAAACAAATCATCGATTTTTTTTTTTACATTGACTGAAAGATAAGATTTGTAAATCTCAAAAAAATGTTAGCGACAACTTTAGCAATGGTAAATACTGGGATGATTTCAACACGCGTATGCGTATTGCAAAAAATTCTGGTATGGCTAAAATTTAATAAAATCCAAGGAAATGTTTCCCTAAGACATTCTTCAGGATCTATATTGCTAAATTTGGAAAGAGTCCCTGTGTATGACATTTTATTTGTTCGATATGTTCAAATTAGCGGCTGATTTCCAAAACTACCTTCAGTTAGTTGTTAACTGGGGCAAAGGATGGCTTGTTAATTTTAACGCATCCAAGACTAAACTTCTCTATGATTCATCTGAGATAACGCTTTTCTAGCTTCCATCAGCATGACTGATGCTAACTTCCAGGAGAGTGACTCTATTCCCCTTTACAGGCTAACGATCTCAGCTGACATTAAGTAGAAAAACTGTAAAGAATCCATTGCTAGGTCAGCTTCTAAAATGGTACGTTCATTTTGTCATGCTAGACAGTTTTTCTCTTCAGAATCTAAGATATTTAAGTCTGCTATTCATCCATGTTTAGAATAGTGCAGTCACATATGGTCAAGCGTACCTGCTACTTATCTAGAGATCCATGATGAAATCCAAAGACGTATCAGCAATATTACTGACTCTGTTCTGGCGTCTCGGCTTCAGTCAGACCTTAGTAATGTTTCGGTTTACTAATTCTTCAATACCCATTAAACACTTGTTACTCAACGACTTCACTGCCTTGCTTGAGGTAAACTCGATTATATATATATATATATATATATATATATATATATATATATATATATATATATATAACTGAAAAAATAGAAAAATATTTTATTATTACCATTCATGATAATAATAAAAATGAAAACTGAAAAACAGGCTAGCTAACCGGTTTCGAACTTCGCATCGAGGTTAATAAACGGAATTGAGACTAAAAAATGGAAAAAATGTATTGGAGAAAGAAAAAAAGATTAGATGGTAATTAGTTGGAGGCCTAATACAAAGTCCTGGTGTTTATACAGAGAGAGCTTCAACGATAGAATATATATATATATATATTATATATATATATATATATATATATATATATATATATATATATATGTAAGCAAATATATGGATATAGATCCGACAGTATGAAGAAAAATATACGGAAAAACAAACAAAAATCCTAACATGCAATTATGCTGTTTTAATGTTAGTATAATGTCAACGTCGGACGTTTCGGTCTAGTAGACCTTCTTCAGGACATATTCATAAAACATAATTAACATAAGACTATATTCAATTCAGCATGAAAAGACGATGGACATAAGAGTAAGACTAATCAAAACAGATAACTCTTATGTCCATCGTCTTTTGATTTAATTTCAAAGCAGAATACTTACTCTTTTTTCGAGGAAAAAAAGATAGAATTAAAAAGAATAATTGTGTGCTTTACCGTGATTAACCAACTGAATGCGACCTACGCTAAATTCAAACTCACTGAAAAAAATCTTTTTTAATGTATGTCATGACACGAAGTTTTCTGTATATTCTCATTTTACCTGTATATATATATATATATATATATTTCCTAGCCTAATTTACCTCAGACTAATAATCTTTTACACACACACACACACACACACATATATATATATATATATATATATATATATATATATATATATATATATTATGAAATGCACAAATTCAGACAATTATTTTAAGACATTTTTTATGTTTATACGTTCTTTTTATAGATACAAATATTTAAGTAAATGCTCTGTTTATAATAAACAGTATTAACGACATTTACTGGCCTGAATGTCCGAGAAATTTTCATAGAAAGTATGCGTCCTCCGACAGGAATCGAATCTGTATCCTATACGGAACCGACACATAGCCGGACGTGCTTTTACCGATTAAGCCACAGAGGAGCAAAGTTGATTTTACTGTTTTTAAACCACAATTCTCCTTGATTTTCTCTCATAAATTCATATCTGCTCGATGCGTATTCAAATATAAACAAATGACGTCACACATTATGAAATGAACATTGAAAATAAACGACATCACGCATTATGAAATGGACAAAGGCTGAGAATCATTTTAAGACACATAATTTCTATAAAAATTTCTCGGACATTCAGGCCGGTAAATTTTGTCAATACTGTTTATTATAAACAGAGCATTTACTTAAATATTTGTATCTGTGAAAAGAACGTATAAATATAAAAAATGTTTTAATATATATATATATATATATATATATATATATATATATATATATATATATTCCTGTGAGACAGAGAGAGAGAAAAAAAGAATAACTTTCCCTAAAAGTGTTTCCTGACTGTTACATTAAACTACAGTTTGTCTTATTTTTTTCGTATGATTTTCTATATATTTATCAGGCCAACTCGATTATATTTTCTTAGCTTTCACTCACGAAACTCTCTCATTGAAACTGTAATGAAAAACGCATTTATCAAGATAATAACCAATGTTTATGGAAACTCTATCACTAATCATAACTGGCGAGATTCTTCAGAGTGAAAATTGGTAATATGTGAATTGAAGGTGCCATTTGGTCATATCGAATTACGAATGAAGTGTTAAGTTCTGGTTTATCATAACAGACAAATAACTTTAGAAGTGCGGACACAAAATGCTAAGTCGATATACAGCGGCGTTCTCGAAAACATTTAATGGTAATTTACGTACATTAACTATACTTTTCTTCTTTTACTGAAA